AGAATAATTTGCTTTATGACAGCGTTTAACGAGGATAATTTGCATTATGACTCACTTTAATTAACCAGGATAGTTTACAATTTGACACAAAGATTAACGGGAGAAAATATCCCCCAAAAAACCAACACAAAGATTCCGTTGCTATTTTGAAAGACATCACTGACTCACTGTTAAAAAAAAAAAATTAATTTTAATTGGACTTGATTTTTGTCTTATTTTTTGGCGTACAAATAATTTTTTTCGACTTGTCGAATATTAGTCTTCAGATGTTGGAGCAAGCGAGTGGAATCCTAAACTTATATTAGTGCAAGCTCACGATTAAAAAAAAAAATCTCCCCGTAACTGATTTGTCATTGTTTGTGTCTTCTCCCACACATGACGGTGCCGGCCATCAGCGGGCCCTCCGAAGCACGCTTCCTTCGTTGAATATTCAACGTGATGCATCTCATTAGCCTTCACGAAGCACTTTTGAAAAGAGCAGCGCTTTGTTGTCTTCAGCAAAGGTAAACGAAGAGAGTCTCTTAACCTCGTCAGGCAAGAAAACATTACAGCCTCGTCCTGCAAGAAAAACATTGCAACCTCGTAAATTAAAAACAAAATCCAATGCTTTTGTCTCATCTCTTTTTTTGGTGAATCAGACACTTGTGGCACACTTGGGTATCTTTATTGCGGAAACGTTTCGCCAGCCAGTGGCTTCCTGAGTGAAGAAGCCACTGGTTGGCGAAACGTTTTCTCAGTGAAGACGGCCAAACTTTGCACAAGTGTTTTACTTCATCCTCCTGTCGGTTCTCCGAACCATTTGTTGTTGCTGGTAGACAGCATCGGCAGTGTTAGTGCTGTTCTGTGGTTCCTTAATACATGTGGGGCAGTGTTATACGTCTCTAGAGACATTCATTTATTAAAATTGTTTTCCTCTGTGTTGAATTTTATCACGTCATTTATTTTTTGGCTTGATCAAGTCACGTTTCGCTCTGTGTTGAACTTTATCTGATTATGTTTCGCTCTGTGTAGGGCTTTATCTAATCACGTTTCCCCTTCTGTGTTGGGCTTTATAAATTAATGTTGTGCTATGTTTGAGATTTATCATATTTCGTTCTGTGAAGAGCTTTATCAAGCCATGTTAAGCATTTTGTAGGTCCTTTTCTTCATTTTCTCTCCGTATAAAGCCTTATACAGTCCTGCCTTGATAAAGTTCTTCACCGAGCGCAACCTCTTAATAAAGCCTTGTACTGCATTAGCAATATTTTTGAGCACCGGGTCTTCCAGCCATTTTGTGTCACCTTGCCTGATGACGTGTACACTGTTATGATACCCGCACGTCAGGATACTCGCAACCTGACAAACGGTTTCCGTAACATGCAGATCGTCCCAGAGGACCGTTAAAGAGTCTCGTAAACGTTCCGTGTTGACATTCTTTGGTTAATTGGTACCTTGACATCATAACGTAACACCAGACACGGTTACTGTAGTAGATTGTAGAAGCAATAGCTCCTGTCAGTGAATTATCGTGGAGGTGCCTAATGGTGTAACCATTCCTTGGTTTTTCACACTTAGGAATGTTAAGAGGCCACCAGTTTTGGCTAGGTTTTTATTAGATGTGCAAGATATAAATGAAGGAAATATAAATTAGGTATCGAGGATGTTAATCAAGACAAAAACAACAACAACAACAACCTCGGAAATATTGAATTTCTTGTTAAATAAATTTCTATTAAATATATATATATTATATATATATATATATATATATAAATTATATTTTATATATATATATATATATATATATATTATATATATAAATGAGTAAAAGAAAAATAAAAGAAAAACTTGTGAATACCGCATGATGAGTGTAGCACATATATTAGGTAGCTATAACATCTTAGGTTAAAAAAAAAGTAAGAATGGATGGATGTGAGTTGAGTGACGATAAAGCTCAAGGGAAAAGAAAATCAGTATTTTGGCTAGGTTAGGCTAGCTCGGATTTTCCTATAATTTTTATTTTCACCTTGTGACTCTCTTCCAAAATTGTTCATTGGACCTGCCTAGTATGGGCCTGATGTGAGTGTGAGTGTCCGAGGGTTCGATTCCTCCTCCACGGCAGAGGACTTATGGGTAGATGAATATGACACTTGTGCAGTATTTGAGTACTATTTATATTTCAGAAACTTTTCTACTACGCAGCAGGCTTCTTCAGTCAAATACAGAGGTGACTGATGTATTGTCGACTTTTGAAGACGAGTCTGAGGTATTCAGTCTTGATAGAACACTTCAGAATTATTTCCCCATCTCCATCAACACTTCAGGATTCAACACTTTAGTCTCTTCTTTAGATATTTGTGCAACATCAGGGTATCTTTATTTGTAGACGTTTCGCCAACCAGTGGCTTTATCAGTACAATACAAGGACATAATGTGAAGAATTATATACAAAAAATGAAGTAAACAGTCCCGCAGCCAGGGTGCGGTGTGGTGTGGCGGTGGTGGGTGGTGTGGTGGTGGTGTGGCGGTGGTGGGTGGTGTGGTGGTGGTGTGGTGATGGTGGGTGGTGTGGTGGTGGTGGTGGTGTGGTGGTGGGTGTGGTGATGGTGGGTGGTGTGGTGGTGGTGATGTGGTGGTGGGTGGTGTGGTGGTGGTGATGTGGGTGGTGGGTGGTGTGTGGTGGTGGTGATGTGGTGGTGGTGGTGTGGTGATGGTGGGTGGTGTGGTGGTGGTGTGGTGTTGTGTGGGTGGTGTGTGGTGGTGGTGATGTGGTGGTGGGTGGTTGTGGTGGTGGTGGTGGTGTGGTGGTGGTGTGGTGGTGGGTGGGTGTGGCGGTGGTGGGTGGTGTGGTGATGGTGGGTGGTGTGGTGGTGGTGATGTGGTGGTGGTGTGGTTGGTGGTGTGGTGGTGGGTGTGTGTGGTGGTGGGTGGTGCATTGGTGGGTGGTGTGGTGTTGGGTGGTGTAGTTGTGGGTGATGTATTGGCGGGTTGTGGTGGTGGTGTGGTGATATGGTTGTGGGTTGTGCATTGATGGGTGTGTGTGGTGTTGGGTAGTGTATTGGTTTGTGGTGTGGTGTTGGGTGGTGTGGTGGTGGTGTGGTATGGTGTTGGTATTGTGTGGGTGGTGGTGGTTGGTGTGGTGGTGGGTGGTGTGGTGGTTGGGTGGTTTGGTGGTAGATGGTGTGGTGTTGGTGGTGTGTGGTGGTGGTGTGGTATAGTAGTTGTGTGGTGATATGGTGGTGGGTTGTGCATTGGTGGGTGGTGTGGTGTTGGGTAGTGTATTGATTTGTGGTGTGGTGGTGGTGTGGTTGGTGTGGTGTTGGGTTGGTGGTTTGTGTGGTGTGGTGGTGGTGTGGTGGGTGGTTAGTGTTGTGTGGTTGTGAGTGGTGTGGTTGTGTTTGGTGGGTGTGTGTGGTGGTGTGTGTGTATGGTGGTGTGTCTATGGTGTGTGTGATGGATGTTGTATTGGTGGGGTGGTGTGTGTGTTGGGGGTGTTGTGTGTGGGTGGTGTGGTGGTGGTTGATGTTGTGTTTGGGTGTGTGGTGGGTGGGTGGATATATTGGGTGGTTGTTGGTGGTGGTGGGTTGGGTTGTGGTGGTGGGGTTGTGGTGGTGTATTGTGTGGTGTATTGGTGGTGGTGGTAGGTGTGTGGTTGGATGGTGGTTAGTGGTGTGGGTGTGGTGGTATGTTGTGTGTGGTGGGGTGGTGTAATGGTGGGTGGTGTGGTGGTGTGGGTGTGTGTCGGCGGGCGGGTGGCGGGCGGGTAGTGGCGGTGGTCGGTGAACTTGGAGGTTCAGTAGGGATGTGCACGTTGAGGTGTGAGGTAGTGTGCATCACCCACACTCCTGCTTCACCAGGTGCCAGCCTCCGCCAAACCTTCTGTTGTTTACTTTCCACACCCTCGTTCAGCCAGAGATCACACCTATGCTCAGAGTGTACTGCCTCAGTCAAGTGATTTTGAGAGGGGTGATCATCTCGCGTCGTGAGATCAATGGATATTTTTTACATGTAAGCTGCGGTGCGACTGTTAAATTGGACCAGTTTTTCTTATAAGCACCGAGAATTATTAAGCGAGTTTTTTGTGACAATTTGCAATCGTTTTATCACGGGCGTGAGTCCTGACCGTCCATCATGTGGTTCTGATATTCAAAGATGATTTACAGTGCATCACTAAAACACGTGTTTAATTCCACGTGTTTCACCACGACTTTCCACTTTTTTTTTTTAAGAAAAATATAAAATATTGAAAGTTATCTTGATGACTCTAATTCTGATTGTGTTGTGCTTTAGTGACAATCATAAACGGGATCATCCTCGTCGCTTCCTGCCAGGGTTGAGACGTCAGCGATACACCGTCAGAAGGAAGTGTATCGCCAACAGATGGAGAATTAACACACACACACCCACACACACTTCCCTGCGTCCTCACACCGATCAGTTCCACTACCGTTAAGGAAAACAACTTGAACCATTGGTCAGTGTATTTCGTAACAAAAAAAAAAATCCATTGTGTTCAGAAAAGAAACTAATTTAATGACAGACTTGGGAAATTAATGACTTCGCGACGTATTTTGTTTGAGAGTGTTGCAAAACAGACCTGGCATTGTGTATGGTAGTTGGTGTATGTCAAGACAGAGTGACTAGAGGATAATGTTGATACACCACATTAAGTAGGCGCTGACAATTCACTGTTCTCCAAGAAGCCAGCCCCCACCTCAAACAGCAGCAACAGCCAGGCAATAAAAACATTTACGGTAGTACCTGATAGACGCACATCTGTCGCCTGCAACTGTTCCGCCGCCCACAGCCTTGTCCGCAGTGGTCAGGGAAACATTGCTCTCCACACATTCCTCGCAGACTTTTTGTTTGTTTGAGCTACTCTATTGATGAACCCTCTGCTTCTTTGACACCTAGTGAAAAAAGTACCCCTTGAGTCACACCCACATAAACTTAATGTCAGTAGATGTTTTTGCAGCAGTTTTACTAGCTCAGTCACATGATAAATATATACTTGAGTTGCCTGATCGCCATTGTCAGTATCATTCGTGCAGAATGTGGATGACTGGATGACTTCGCAGTTAAAAAAAAAATGCATCACAACTTCATGGACGACGGGAAGACAGTCTGAATTACTAGATATTAGAGAATCGGGAGTCAAAGATCCCGACAGTTCAGCACTTCCTCTCACCCTGAACACTGCACCCATCACACCAAGCCCACCGCTGCACCCTCTCCCATCCCTCCCATTAGTACCCGAAAATAGTGCTCCCTGCCTCTCTTCCCTATTAACTCCATTCCAGAGAGGTGCTCCACACTCTCTGCCTCAGGCACCATCGTGGTCTGGAACAGCATCTTTCACCTGTTCTGAGAGGAAGCCGTGAACCCAGGGTAATGCACCTGGTGATTGACTCATCCCGGCAGTCTTCACCTGCCTCGCAGATTACACTTGGTCTTCACTCTTCGTGTGTTATTCTGCGTATTGTTTTGAGTGAAGAGAGAAAAGTGGACACTGAAAAATAATTATTCACGTGACATAATTTTACAAGCATACATTTGTAAAAGTATATCGGATCTGTGTCATCTGTTGTAATTGGTCGGCATGGGAGGGTAGACCTATGGGGTTGTGTGTAGTGTATGAGGCCGGGGTAGAGGTGGCTATGACCCTGCACTTATCACTCACTGTTGCTGGAGCCTCGCCTCACTCCCCTCATGGGCTGCCTGCTCAGCGTCTCAAGCAACACTTGCGTCAACGTGGTGGACCTGGCAGCTGTAGGAGGTCTCGGAGATGTCTCCCTCCACAGGAAGAAGCGAGCTAGCCTCCTCTCCGCTAGCCGCTACTCTTCCCTCTTCTCTACCAAGAGAGGCAACAAAGATGGGGGGCAGCAGTCCCCTGCTGCCCCTAGGCGGCCAGGGTTACTCGTCGCTGATGCTCTGAGGAACCTACAGAGGGCACATTCCTTCAGACACGGAGAATGTTACCTCTGTAATTACAAAAATAAGTCGTGTAATGGCGTGTGTATCCATCGCGAGATCTTCACATCGGTTAAGCCTGGGTACTACTCCAGTTATTACACCCGAGATTCCCATAATGGAGGGAAGAGAGGTGGCACCCTCAGGAAGTCATTCAAAACTCTCCCATCATCCAGGGAGAGCGACGTCTTCAGTATAGACTCTCTCTCTAAAGGTACCGTCCTTAGACGAACCATACAAAGAGGTTCGTCCGGGTCTTTCAAAGCTAAAAACAGAAAGTCTATGAGGTCTATCACTGCCTTTCCTTCGGATGCGCCGCCTCCCGAGTTGGGCATCAAGCCACAGGTCTCGTATAGACTCGCAAGGCGCAGTCTTGGAAACGAGATGTACGAAGCCTCTGTTACCAGCTACGAGGAGAATGAAGCGCTGGCTACTCTGCAGGACATCATATATGCTAACAGCATCCACGATTCGCCTTATCCATCCAGTGCTGAAAATACTGAAGATGATAACGCTTATGAATCGATAAGACCACCTTTGCCGAAGAAGAACCGGAGTAGACCTGATGATGATCCTGAAACATATTATGACCTCTCGGTTTCAGTGTCCCAGCGGAAAGGAACACTTACTGCTAGTGATTTCGGTCTCTTAAAGGGTTCCAAGGACAGCCCCCCGCTCCTGAAACCACTGCCATCCAAACCTACCTACCTTCAAGAGCCCACCTTCTCCAATGACCGAACAAACTTGGTCCCATCAACAGCAAATGAGGGCAAGGAGAGTCAGTACCCTCTTGGTTATGAAATTTGTAATGCTCAGAATTGCCGTAGCGAGGATGGAGGATGTGTCAACACCTTGGATGGTAACTTGCACACGAAGGGGAACTATGTTTTGGAGAAGGGTTGTGGCAGCATCTCTGACAGCGACGAATACGAGTGTGCCAGATATCACAGACAAGGGCCATATGACGTCCCAGCGTCGAAGACACTCCAGATGACCGTCAAGGAGAAGATTGTAGTGATGGAGAGGTAATTATTTTTTTTACATTTTTGTAAGAATAAGACAATTAAGAAACGTTGCCTGAGTTGAGTGAGAGTAACTATTTTATAATATACGAGAAGATGACCACTGCAGTAGGCACACTCACCCGTTGCCAAGGCAACTCTTACACCCATCCAATTTAATTTTTAGGCTGGAGGTAAACGCGACCAGACAGCTGCTACAAATTAAAGGAAAGTTTATTAGAACTGACTCCAGAGTGATGTATGTGAGCTTTCTCTGACTGTTGCTTTTACTTTGCTCGTTTATGAGAGTATTTATAAGAATTTTCGTTAGTTTTGAAGCTCAAGTGATTTCCGGCAACTTAATAAATGGTGTTCAAAAACTGAGGTGAGAGTTTGTCAATGTTCTGTTTTGGTTCTTAGCTCTGGTTTATCGCGCTCCCACTGGTTCTGTGACTCGAAATGGGAAACCCAGTAATTCCACGAGTCTAGAATGAACATCTCACTTGTTCCACGAATATTAATTAGACACCTCACTTGTTCCACGAGCCTATATTGGACACCACACTTGTTCAACGAGCCTATATTGGACACCACACTTGTTCAACGAGCCTATATTGAACACCACACTTGTTCAACGAGCCTATATTGGACACCACAATTGTTCAACGAGCCTATATTGAACACACTTGTTCACGAGCCTATATTGGACACCACACTTGTTCACGAGCCTTATTGACACCACACTTGTTCAACGAGCCTATATTGAACACCACACTTGTTCAACGAGCCTATATTGAACGCCACACTTGTTCCACGAGCCTATACTGAGCATCACGCTTGTTCCACGAGCCTATGTTGAACACCACACATGTTCCACGAGCCTGTATTGAACACCACACATGTTCCATGAGCCTGTATTGTACACCACACATGTTCCATGAGCCTATATTGAATACCACACATGTTCCACGAGCCTATATTGAACGCCACACTTGTTCCACGAGCCTATACAGAGCATCACGCTTGTTCCACGAGCCTGTATTGAACACCACACTTGTTCCACGAGCCTGTATTGAACACCACACATGTTCCACGAGCCTATATTGAATACCACACATGTTCCCGAGCCTAGTATTGAACACCACACATGTTCCAGAGCCTGTATTGAATACCACACATGTTCCACGAGCCTATATTGAACACCACACATGTTCCACGAGCCTAAATTGAACACCACACATGTTCCACGAGCCTGTATTGTACACCACACATGTTCCACGAGCCTATATTGAATACCACACATGTTCCATGAGCCTATATTGAACACCACACATGTTCCACGAGCCTGTATTGAACACCACACATGTTCAACGAGCCTATGTTGAACACCACACTTGTTCCACGAGCCTATATTGAACACCACACATGTTCCACGAGCCTATATTGAACACCACACATGTTCCACGAGCCTATATTGAACACCACACATGTTCCACGAGCCATGTTGAACACCACACTTGTTCAACGAGCCTATATTGAACACCACACATGTTCCACGAGCCTATATTGAACACCACACATGTTCCACGAGCCTGTATTGAACACCACACATGTTCAACGAGCCTATATTGAACACCACACATGTTCCGCGAGCCTATATTGAACACCACACTTATTCCACGAGCCTATATTGAACACCACACATGTTCCACGAGCCTATATTGAACACCACACATGTTCCACGAGCCTATATTGAACACCACACATGTTCCACGAGCCTATATTGAACACCACACATGTTCCACGAGCCTATATGAACACCAACATGTTCCACGAGCCTATATTGAACACCACACATGTTCCACGAGCCTATGTTGAACAACATGTTGAGCCTTTGAAACAGTTCACGAGCTATTGAAACTGTTGATGCTGTGAGTGAACGTGTGATGCTGTGAATGAACGTGTTGATGCTGTGAGTGAACGTGTGATGCTGTGAAGTGAACGTGTTGATGCTGTGAGTGAACGTGTTGATGCTGTGAGTGAACGTGTGATGCTGTGAATGAACGTGTGATGCTGTGAGTGAACGTGTGATGCTGTGAGTGAACGTGTTGATGCTGTGAGTGAACGTGTGATGCTGTGAGTGAACGTGTTGATGCTGTGAGTGAACGTGTGATGCTGTGATGAACTGTTGATGCTGTGACGTGAACGTGTGATGCTGTGAGTGAACGTGTGATGCTGTGAGTGAACGTTTGATGCTGTGAGTGAACGTTTGATGCTGTGAGTGAACGTGTGAAAGCTGTGAAGACGTGTTGATGCTTGAGTGAAACGTGTGAATGTTGTGAGTGAACAATGTTGATGCTGTGATGAACTGTGATGCTGTGAGTGAACGTGTGATGCTGTGAGTGAACGTGTGATGCTGTGAATGAACGTGTTGATGCTGTGAGTGAACGTGTGATGCTGTGAGTGAACGTGTTGATGCTGTGAGTGAACGTGTGATGCTGTGAGTGAACGTGTTGATGCTGTGAGTGAACGTGTGATGCTGTGAGTGAACGTGTGATGCTGTGAGTGAACGTGTTGATGCTGTGAGTGAACGTGTGATGCTGTGAGTGAACGTTTGATGCTGTGAGTGAACGTGTGATGCTGTGAGTGAACGTGTGATGCTGTGAGTGAACGTTTGATGCTGTGAGTGAACGTTGATGCTGTGAGTGAACGTGTAATGCTGTGACTTAGCCTCTCATCCTTCCCACTGAAGTCAAGACTCCACCAACCATGAACAAGTTGAGAGACAGACATTCATCTTAGTGGATACCAGAACGATGGAAGTCTGAAGACGCTAAATTTACCATCACCAATAAAACACTCACAAAAATCCAATTTTAAAAGCAATTTTTTTCTCTTGCTGTTGTTTGTCCTTCTTTCTTTTCTTCTTCCTCTTCTTCTTTTTCTTCTTTAGCTCACTCCTATCCTACCTCAGCTCACTCCTCTCCTACCTCAGCTCACTCCTATCCTACTCAGCTCACTCCTATCCTACCTCAGCTCACTCCTATCTTACCTCAACTCATTCCTATCATACCTCAGCTCACTGCTCTCCTACCTCAGCTCACTCCTATCATACCTCAGCTCACTCCTATCCTACCTCAGCTCACTGCTCTCCTACCTCAGCTCACTGCTATCCTACCTCAGCTCACTCCTATCCTACCTCAGCTCACTGCTATCCTACCTCAGCTCACTGCTATTCTACCTCAGCTCACTCCTATCCTACCTCAGCTCACTGCTATCCTACCTCAGCTCACTCCTATCCTACCTCAGCTCACTGCTATCCTATCTCAGCTCACTCCTATCTTACCTCAGCTCACTCCTATCCTACCTCAGCTCACTCCTATCCTACCTCAGCTCACTCCTATCCTACCTCAGCTCACTGCTATCCTCATATCTTCATGCTCACTCCTATTCACTACCTTAGCTCACTCCTATTCTACCTCAGCTCACTATCCTACCTCAGCTCACTGCTATCCTACCTCAGCTCACTCCTATCCTACCTCAGCTCACTGCTATCCTACCTCAGCTCACTGCTATCCTACCTCAGCTCACTACTATCTTACCTCAGCTCACTCCTATCCTACCTCAGCTCACTGCTATCCTACCTCAGATCATTTTAAACTCAGCCCTATCTAGGGTATACTCTTCAGGTATATCATCTAATGTATACTAAGGTATACTATCTCAGGTATACTATTGAATCTAAGATATACAATATAAAGTATACTGGTATTATCTGAGGTTTATTGAATGCTGGAATACCTATTATTAAGAGTGTTACAGTACCTATTATTAAGAGTACTAGAATACCAGTATTAAGAGTACTTAAGTACCTGTATTAAGAGTACACTACCTTACATCTCTGGACCATCTGTGTCTAGCTTCCCACAATGAATCCTCGCCTCTGTGCTTGGCATTTCGAGAAACAAATTCCCTATCTGCTGCATCAAATCCTCTGCTTTATCTCACTAGTCATTATCAACAGTGCAGTATCGGCCAATATTAAGAGGTAAAAGGACACATGGGCAACTAACGCGTCATTTACTGTGGCAAAGTTTCGCCAAACGATTCTGGCAGTAAAATGTCACGTTAGTTGTCCATGTGTCCTTGTAGCTAACATATTGTCGGTAATTCTACCAACGTTATTACAGTATTAATAAAGTTGGATGCTCTCTCAACATGTAATTCCTTAACGCCGTGGTGATGGGAATACTTCGCGATGTTATTATGTTTTTGTTGTCGAAATTCAGTATAGCCTGTGAAGCGTATAGGGTTAATGGAGCTGGTAATCTGTTTGAAGGGTAATTGCTTGTCTAGTCGATTCGTTTGTGGTTAGTTACCTGCACCGGCAACTAGCAGGGTATGATGCTAGATGAATGCATCACTAACTAGTTAAGAAAAGAATACAGGAATGATGGAGGCACTGCAGCAGGCCTACTGGCCCATGCCAGTCAAGTTGAAGTGTATCAGTAACTAGTTAAGTTTATTTGTAGGTACTTAAGTTTGCCAAAAGATATATAAGTTCATTAATAACTAAATAAATGCATGTGTGACTAGTTTAGTGTTTAAGTAACTGGTTAAAACAATCATAAACTAGTTACGCGTATGTGTGACTAGTTTAGTGTATCAGTAACTGTTCAGTGTATCAATAATAATTGAAGTGTGTCATTGACTTGTTAGCGCATCAGTAACTAGTAACCTGGGTGATGTACTTGCCTACGTCCGTTACCTTTCTAGTCAAGTCCAAAAAAGTGCTGTACAGTCAGTCCAATTCATTTTATATATGATAAGAACACTGCGTCTATTATTATTATTATTAATTATAATGATTATTCTTTCACCTTCATTTTTTCTCATCATAAGATAGATGGTTATCATTAGATGGTTATCATAGGATGATAATCATATGATAGATGGTTATCAAACGATAGATAGCTATCATAAGATAACTGGTTATCATTGGATAACTTGGCTCTTGTGATAGG